TTTTTATCATAAATTATACAAATACATTTCTTAACTACTCGTACACTTAGTCAAGTATTGTAGCTAGTTAACCAAAGGTCTAACTTGTTACATTATACTACTAACCAAATTAGTCAATTAATAGAATTTATTGTCGCGTTGAAAATTCTGAACACGAAGAAATTAATAACGACAAATTGGGGTAAACTATATTAAAGGCTGTGTAGTTGAACATGAAATTCAAAGTATATTCCAAGAAGCCTTCAAATTTATACTGAAAAGAATTGAATTTTTATATTCAATTACACAGCTTTTAATATAGCTTATCCTGATTTGTCATTATTAATTTCTTCATGTTTATAATTTTCAATGCGATGCTTTATATTTCATTTTCATTTGAATTTATTCATACTAATTTTCTTTCAAAATATATTCTAAGCCTTCAAATTTATGCCAAAAAGAAATTGGAAGAAAATTAGTAAGCAAATTCAAATGAAAATAGAAATATGAAGCACTCAAATATTTTTAAAATTTGCTGATAAGGAAAAATTAGATAGATACGTCCTTTTTGCAGTTTAAGCCTTCAGTTACTATGAATTTTCCTGATCTTTTCTTGAGATCTACATATAGAATAGATAAGATAAAATGTAATTGAAATCTTCTTGTAAGATATAAAAGAACAAAGAGTCAAGTTAATAAAAAAATCATCTAATTCAGATTTCAAATAACTTATAAGATACTTTTTTACCTTAAAAAATCTATCCTTTAAACTTTTTTGTGCCTTTTTCATATCTTATCTTGCCCAAATTGAATGTTTCGAGTAGAATTTATAGAAGAAGGCAGTTTACAGTTCTATTTATCAGTCTAAACACCTGATGAACTATCCATCAACAAACCTGATAGTCCAATTTCAGAAAACACAAGTGCAAGTGAAGAAAGCAATAATAAAATATCTGAAAAGCCGATTTATAAAAAAGCAAAAGTAAGATATAAGGGTGGTCAAAAAAATGAAGCTGGGTCTGGAAATATTTCAAATCAGAAAAAGTAATTAAAAAGTCTAAAGATGTCAATATTGAAGTCATATATAGTATTTGTCTTGTATTGGATGATTCAGGAGAACCATGTAATGCACGGTTAAGAATAGTAAGCAGGTCAACCTCAAATCTAATAAATCATTTATCAAATGTTTATGGTATTATAAAAAAAGGACCTAAATTATATAGACAAGATGATGTATAAATTATTTTTTATATTAATTATTGGTTTTTATTAAATAATTTATAAATTAATTAATAAAATTATATTACCTAGCCTATGCAAACCAAAATTGATATATTCGCAAAATCTGGCCCTCTTCTACATACTAAATCTAAAAATGACAAATTGACTAAAGCATTTGTTAAGTTTCTTATCCATGATGTACAACTAATTAGTCTTGCAATAAGCCCTAACTTTTGCAAGTTTATAAAAGAACTAGATCCAATGTTTAGTTTACCTGACGAAAAATGTATAAAACAAGTAATTCATACCTTGTATAATAAATCTTATAATATTATGTAGAAAAAGCTCAGGGATTCTGTAATATCTTGTTCATTAACAATCAATTTGTGAACATCTTAGAATAGACAAGAGTATCTTGATGTTACCTGTTCATGGCTCGATTCAGATTTGCAAATCCATGAAATATTGCTTTCTCTAACATATGTTAGATATCCTCATACTGCTGATGCTATTCAAGAAAAATTAGAAGAAATAATTAAAAAGTGGGGTCTTACAAGAAAAGTATATTCAATTACAAGTGATAATGAGGCCAATATGAAGACAACAATTAATAAAATGAGTAATGTAAAAAGAATCCTTTGTTCAGCGCATACGTTATAGCTAGTTATTGGAAAAGAGTTGATGTCTGCTGAAATACTTGTAGCACAGGCCAAGCAATTAATCAACTTTTTCATGATGCTGAAACAAAATGAATGGCTTGAAGATGCTCAAAAAACACTTAGGATCTCGGATAAAGATGTAATATTAAAATTTAATAAAAATAATTAAAATATATGCCACTTTATTAATCAGGATAAAATAAAATATTAAACCATTTTAGCTTAAACTATAGTAGTTTAAATGTTTTATTATATTTTATTAATAATCTTATACTAACAAGAATTCAATTTTTATTTGTACAGTTAACTACCTATATAATAGATTTTTGGGTTTATTAATAAAAATTTTTGAAAAATCGTTATATAGTATAAATTTAAATCTCTTATCTGTTGTATATATATTCATTATATTAATAGTTGACTGTATATACTATATTATTTTAATAATTAAAATATTCATGCAATAGATAATTACCAAAACTTTAATATATATTTGTGCAAAAATGGACGTATCTACTCAGTGGAATTCATCCTTTCTTGCTTGAGAACGTCTTCTACTTCTTTAAGATGCCATTGATATTGTCTTAGCAATATTAAGTGCTTCGACTGTATCTGAATCCAGAAAAGACACAAAAAGGTTAAGAGGGATATAGTTAACTGATGAAGAATGGAATTTAATACATGATCTTATAAAAATTTTGGGTCCATTCTTTGAAGTTATAGAAGAACTCAGTGGTTCTGAATATATTACGATTTCCTTCATAGTTCTTTCTATTTTAGCATTAATGGAAAGGTTAGATTGCTCTACCAGAAATTTAGAAAAATCAAATGACACCTTAAATTTTGAAACAACTGACCTTGTATTTGATGATAATGTTGGATTTACTGATACTTATAAGGAGGAAGAAGATGGTTCTAAAGAAAGAAAAATTAAAATCAATACACCTACTGTTGTTATTGATATAAAACATAAAATTAAAAATTCATTATATAGTGCCCTTTTACACTATTGGGACTTGTCAAATGATGAAGTATTTATTGCGTGTCTCCTAGATCCTAGGTTTAAAAAATTAAGATTTGTATCTTCATGTCAACAACGCCGAACTGAAGCAGCCCTCCGAGAAAAATATAATAATATAAAATCCCTTTGCCAATCTTCACTGACTTCAAATTTTAATGAAAAACAACCTTCAGCTAAAAATAATTGGAAAGAGCAACGTCAAATTTATCACAAAACCTTTTTCAAATCAATTTTTATATAAAATACTTCCAAGAAGCCAAATGATGAGCTTAACCATTACTTTTTTTTACCTAAAATTTCATATGAATCTAATTCTTTCCACTGGTGAAATTCTCAAAAGGTCACCTTTCCCATATTAAGTGTGCTTGCCAAGCAATATCTCGCAATACCTGCTACTTCAACTCCAAGTGAATGACTTTTCAGCGATGCAAGCAATTTAATGACTGTTAGAAGAACAATGCTAAAGCCCAGATTATTTGAACGGATGCTATTTTTAAAATGAAATCATAATGAATTAGAAAATGTTTATAATTTGAATGTATGAAGTTTTTAGTGAGTTTTTTTTTAATTTTATCTTCTTTCCTTCTCTATAAATGATGTTATAAGATAGCTTGAAAAAAAATTTTTTACCTGGAATCATATTAGATATAATTTTTTTTTTTATAAATTATAATTTTTAACATGCTAAATAAAGTGGATCATATAAAGTAAAATATAAAAAAATAGAAAACGATGTAATAATAAATATCGATAAACGATTTTTCAAAGTATTTGCGTAATGTGATATGATCCTTAAATTTAATAAAAATGAATCTGTAAATAATTTTCTATGAGGTATAAGTGCCTATTATCGAAAATTTGGGTTTATACTGGGTTTAGACTTACTATAAGGCTAGATAAAATAATTAAAAAAACTTTAAGAAGATAATATTTTATAATGATACTATAACTTTTAATCTTTACCGGAAGACAAAAATGTTGAAATCTATACTTGATAATTTGAGCGAATTTAAGATTTCTATTAAAGGTAAAAAAAAATTAGCTTAGTGAAAAATATTGACTAAATATCATAGAATAATGTGTAATAAATAGTATTTATTAAAAAAAAAAAAGCTTTAAAGTTTGTACATTAAGTTTTATCAAATATCAACAAATGTATCAAGTATTTATTCAAATTTTTTAACAAATTTTTGAATATAAAAAAATTGATCAAATGAATACTCGAATTCCCATTATTTTGATCGAGTCAAACCTCTAATTATATAAAAGATGATCATTAGCAATCAGGCCCAATAGCAAACTGAATGAGGACTAGGTGTTTGGCAAGGCACTATACTAACTAGGCTATGCATATACAGAAAAAAGGATTTATTAGAATATCAGGTGATATCAGGTGATGCAAGTGTTTTCTGAGCTATCTGAATTGGAAGTTTAGAGATACTGTTGATGTGTCAAGAAAGTTGATAGTAGTCCGTAAAGTGGGTGCTGTGATTTGGATGAACTTCATAAAAGCAAGAAGTAAATGATAGTAGCAAAAGTAAAATGCTATAAGTACTTAGCTATAGCCTAGGTATAAGTTATTAGTATTATATGTATGGGATATAGACTACTCTAGTAGGTTTATTATAAGAATAAAGTAGTCTTAAAAGGCCTTAGTAGCAGTTCCTCTTTGGTAAGAATATCTGATGGCACTAAGTTGATCAAAAGGTTTAATTGTATAACCCAAGTAATAGTAAGTTATAGATATAGCATCTAGTGTAGAACCTAGTAATAAATAGATACTTAATTAGCTACTTAAAAGGTGCAGGTATGGCTAGAATATACTCTTATTAATGTAACAAAGTCAGGGATTGCTCTGTGACAGCCTTGACATTCACAACTAAAGTTAATAAAATATACCAAACCCTCAACTAGTTATCTTAACATTAAAAAAAAATATATATATTTACTTGCCTTTTAAATTCAAACTATTATCTAATCATTTATACTATCTAGAAAAGCTCTAAAGTACTATCTTAATATTGTTATTAAATTTGATAGCTATACTAGACCCAACCCTCAATCTAAATATATAATACCTAACATTTTGCTAGACCTTTTCTTATCATCTCTACCACCAACATCTAAACTTTTTACTAACAACATCTTACAAGATTTAAGTTTTATTTTTTTAATAGAACTCTATTATAATAATCAATCTACTAACTCTCAAAACCAGAGCTTTAACAACTTACCAAACCTCTCATTTAAACTAAATATAGCAATATACAATATACAAAGATATAATGTATATAAAAAAAGACTATTATAAGAAGACTACTGTTTAACTAACAATCTACATATTATTAGTTTAATAGAAACTAAAATTGCTAGCAATATATATACAAGATTCTTCAATATCTAACAATATAGATATTATTGATCTAATTCACTAATAGCTAAAAAAGAAATATATATAATATTACACAATTATATCCAACTCTATATACACAAAATACTTACATATCTAAGAGGAGCAATTGCTATTGACTTGTTTTTTAAATATAACTATAAGCTTAAAATCATCTCTATATATCTTTTATTAATCAATAGTACTGTCTGAAAACTCACATAAGAAATAGCTACTATATAAATATAGCAAGCATTATCAAATAATCTATAACCTATTATTTTGGAAGACTTTAATGCCAACAATAATACTACTATTTCATCTGCAATTAAATTTCAACTTCTTAATTATCTATACAATACGATCTGACAAATTATATAAATAATCTACAAAACATCTGATATAGTACTAGATATCAAAGCAGAATCGATTATATTTGGGCAAATGATACTCTTATACCCTATTTACAGTTTTTTAAAATTGATAACTTACTATTCTCAACCCATAGTAATCACCAAATTCTAATATCAAACTGAATATTCCCCTTTACACTAGCTAAAATCAATTACAAATCTAAATACAAACATAAAATATATAAGTATAAACAAATGATCAAAAAACAATGAGAAAAGTTTACTAACCAGATTAATACTAATATGACTCAACACAATACCATATGTTTCTGAAAATAAGCTACATCTAATAATAAGCTACCTTCCTTTTTTAAAAGAAAAATATAAAAACGTCTTATATCTAAAAATAAGCTACTTAATAATTATCAGTAGTTACTCTATAGTAAAGTTAAAATTTTACTAAATAAATCAATATATCTTATTAAGTAAAAGTTGTTCAGAAGATCAAAAAATATATATTTTGAAAGTTTTATTCAAATTAGATAACTTTTTATTAATACGTTTTTGCATATTATATTCAGCGAATTTTTTAAAATTTTGATTAAAATTTCTTTAAAATTTATATTATCAAATGTAAAAATCAAAAGTCAATTAATAAAAAGTTATCCTATTTATATAAAACTTACAGAATACATATTTTTTGATCTCCTAAACAACTTTTACTGAATAAGTATAATAGATTTACTTAATAAAATATTTAGTAATTAGCAAATAATACTTTTATCCAATAATAAGCTATCTGCAAAATTTTTGTATAACTTTTTGGCCAAAAATAGTAGCTTATTTTTGAATATATATAGTATACCTTTATCTACTACCACAACTGAAATTTTGAAAAAACATGGCATAAAATTTATACTTGTACTGTATCATTAATTCTGCAATACAATACATTTCTAATAAAAAATATATTGTTAAATATTTGTTTTATATTTTTATATCTAAGCCAACACAACTTCATAAGAATCTCAAAACATTGAATATATTATGTATCAAACCAAAAAGTTTTTTTCTTATAATATTTATCTACCTAACAACATCTATAACCTAATTGATCATATCAATATAGTTTATAACTTCTCTATTAACAATCTATCTACTTAATAAGAAGAATTAATAACATAGCTTCAAGATATAAAAGCATACTAGAAAACACTTTACAATACTAGAAATTTGAAAAATGTATAACATCTACAAAACATATAAATAAAGCTATTGATAAAAGATATGATCAACTATTATCACAACCAACTAAAATGATTAACAGTATACTCAATAGATACAAGGATGCAGTATACTTTCAGAATATAAAAACAAATAATAATATCAGTATTAACCCAACTGATATTAAACAACACATTACTAACTACTTTAATAAATGGTTAGTACATTAACCTTATAATAACACAATCTTTAACCAATACTAACAGACAGAATACAAATCTATCCTTTTTATAAACTCTTTATAGTATAATCCTATACCAGTATAGAAGAAATATTACAAACTATACAACAACTACCTAACAATAAAGTATATGAACAGGAACCTGAGTAATACATAGATAGGTTAGATCTAAGTTTGCTTATTTTCATGCCAAATTTGCTTCAAAAATGCTTATTTTTGACCAAAATTTGAAAAAATTTACTATGTAAAAATGTAATGTTTATTAAATTTCTCTTAAAATTTCCTTTTTTAGTAACCTTTAACCTATCTATGTATTACTTGGAGTCCTATATGAACCATCTGGAATTAGTTATAAAATGATTAAATATACAAATTCAAATATGCTACTTGTAATTATTAGCCTACTTAATCGATATCTTATTATATATAATATACTCAAACAATGAAAGAATAGTAGAATCTACTTCATTTTAAAAAAATTTCAATTTGATAGCAATTTGAATAATACCCATCCTATCAGCTTTATCAAATATATAAAAAACTTTATACCAAAATTCTTATTAACTAATTAACCAAAGTCTTTACTACATGCCTAATTCTTAATCTTTATAACTATGTTGCACTTCCTGGTAACTCCATTAACAATCCAATACATATACTTAACAACTTTCTGGAAGATGCCAAATATACAAAGAAATAGGCTTAAATTCTATCACAAGATATAAGCAAAGCCTATAACTTAGTTAATATACATCTTCTTAACAAAACCTTCTAATGTTTAAATATATCTATTCAACTCATACAAATTATTATAAACCTGCTACAAAAAAATCATACTAATTAAGTTATCACTAATTATAGATTAATATCCTAATACCACGTACAAGATGGAATTGATTAAAGAAAGACAATAACACCTTTTCTCTAACATATTTATTATGATCTTCTCATTACTTATATTAATAAAAAATATATTGAATACTCATCTATAGTTGAATAGATTACCCAACTTAATCCTATCAAATATCAAAACA